GCCAGCTGAGAGATGTGAAATGTGCTCTTCCTTATGTGCCAGCTGAGAGATGTGAAATGTGCTCTTCCTTTTGACAGGCCGTTGACTCCCGTGATTCCGTTGCCATGGCTCTATACTCCCAGTGCTTCTCTTGGATCATCATGAGGCTGAATCAAAAAATCAAAGGGAAGGACAACTTCAAGTCTATCGGAATCCTGGACATATTTGGTTTTGAGAACTTCGAGGTGAGGTGGATCTGCTCACACTGAATACCCAGCAGGTGGAGAGACATGGAAACGTGTGACTGAGACAGCATAGTCATGTGGTAGAGTATGTTCTGCTTTCTTTCTGTCCACCAGGTGAACCGGTTTGAGCAGTTCAACATTAATTATGCCAACGAGAAGCTGCAGGAGTACTTCAACAAACATATCTTCTCCTTAGAACAGCTGGAATACAACAGGTAAGGTCACTGCAGAGTGGTTTCTGCTTGAAGGTTGTTAAGCTGCAGTATCTCATATTCCCAGTAATTTCACTGGCTGCGTTAATGGGCGGATGTGTGTGAATTTAACCACAGAATATCCTGTGCTACTTCCATAGAGAGGGAATACATTGGGAGGCCATTGACTGGATGGACAACGCTGAGTGTCTAGATCTAATAGAGAAGGTAATGCCCTAGCTGCTAGAAAACCCTGGGTCCAGCACTGAGACCATGTCCACAGTTTCCTCTAGCAGTGGTGTCATTTATGGAAGACTGGCCTATGTCTTTCCCTCTCCTCCCTGTTTCAGAAACTCGGCATGTTGTCCCTCATCAATGAGGAGAGCCGCTTTCCAAAAGGCACTGACTGCACCTTGCTGGAGAAGCTCCATAGCCGGCATGCTGTGAGTCTGCATGCACACACTCACACCGATATGCACACACTCACACCGATATGCACACACTCACACCGATATGCACACACACATAGACAGACTCACACAGAAGTAGCCAGAAAGGTGCTTAGAAAATATGCACATGTCAGGTAATTAGCCTGCATGTGTATTTATCTTTAAAATGTGAAACACTGAGTACCTGGTGTGAGAAAATTGTGCTACGAACTCTTTGAGTTCACGTAAAAGCGCTATATAAATAAAATGTATTATTTTTATTATTATAGTTTCAACTGTTGTGTCAAATGTCCCTCTCCCTACAGACAAATCCTTACTATGTGAAGCCCAGGGTGGCTGACCACCAGTTTGGTATCAAGCACTATGCCGGAGAGGTAATTACCCATATTGTTGTTGGCTGATGACCTATGACCAGGGTTGCCCACTTTCACGCATCTGGCGTGACACTCACACTTTTTGATTCTCACATTCACACAAGAAATCTTACGACAAATCTATATTATTCCACTATAAACTTAAAATTAGTTACATCAAAAGGAAATAAAATGCAAGGAAATTTGCAGGGAACTAAAATTGTTACACACATGTAAATTAGTGTGCAAACTGAAAATCTGACACCAGCCAGCTGACCAGAGCTGCTAACCCCTCATATGTCCCCTGATCTTTGCCCTTGCTGCAAACAGCCACATTGTCTCACTTATTCAGCAAAATATGTCATTTTTTTCTTCTTTAATTGTTAAATGAAATAGGTTTGCAGTAAATTCCTGCTGATGGATTTATGAAGTGCTAATCAGACCCTGCTTACTCGCTTACTCACGCTCTTCAGGAAAATCTAGATTAGTGTTTCCTTGTTAGCTGTGTCATGAAAGGGAAGAAGAGAGTCCGGACAGAACAGGACAGAACGATCAGGGACGTGCAGTCTGGGATTATGATCACAAAATAGTATCGCATGCAGAAAGTGGTTAATTTGAGTGGCGTGAATTTGGTTCCTGTTTTATTGTCTCTCTTTCTAACACATGGAAAGGCTGAGAAGCAGCGGGACACAGGGACGCACACATGCATATGAGCATGCTGGTATCCCCTTGAGGGAGACTCGGTCGCTGCTGGTTTCTCTGAGCTGCTGCTGGCTCTGTTTCACAGTAACACACACCGGCCAGGCTGCAATGCCACACTCGGCTTCTCTTTCACTAATTAGGGAGGACTGGGCTGCTGGGGGGGTTGGGGGGGTGATTCGGCACTGTGCCCCTTCCGGGACTGCTGCCGAGGCTCGAGCCAGCTCCCCGGGGTTACCCCCCCACCCCCATCCCACCCGGCGTCTGCCACTGAATGACAGACCGGGGCGACTCCTCAAAGCAGAGCGGAGAACAGGGAAAGGTCAGCGCTGGGCTTGCTGACAGCAGCAGGACCTGCCCCCTGGCAGCGAGGAGGCGGAAAGGCGCCCTTTCACTGGCTGCCCTTTAGAGATGCCAGCAGACAATGCCGCCACAGTCACTGTGCCCAGAAGCCACAGGCCTGCTGCTGCTGTCAGTCTTATTCTCTGCCTCAGTCTTCCACATCTCCTCTGTGTGCAGTTCATCATCAAAGCATCTTCTGTTACCTCCAAAAGAAGGTGGCTTCACTACACTGACTCAGGGAAGGTGTTTCTTAAGTTAGGAGAACAGTAATTTGAGTCTGACATTCATGTGTAAAGAATTGGTGAGTCTTTGATTTTTGAGACAAGGGTATTTCTAGTTATGTTGAGGAATAGAACTTATGAGTCAGATTTCACAGAAAGAAATAATCAAATTGATATATGCACTATTTGGAAACTGAGCTGGACTGAGTGTAATGCTTCTCCCAGGTCCACGTCCCCTCAAAGTCCCTCAAAAACATGAGGTATTTTTTGCTGTGTCCTCCATCCTCAACAGGTGCTTTATGATGTTCGTGGGATCCTAGAGAAGAACAGAGACACATTCAGAGATGACATTTTAAACATGCTGAAGGACAGCAGGTGAGTCATCTCACCAGTTCCTTCCTCAGTCACAGAATGTTCTGAGCAAAACAGAACAGCCGTATTACTGTAGTACTCCGGTACAGTGCTATCTGAGGATTCATCTCGGGTTATGCCCCTTCCACTTTATTTGTGTTTACAACAGGTTGGACTTTATCTATGACTTGTTTGAGCGTGTGGGGAGCCGGAACAGCGAGGAAACGCTGAAAATGGGCACCGCTAGGCGTAAGCCTACAGTCAGCTCTCAGTTCAGGGTGAGAACTAAATAATCATGACAAACAAATGATTTTGAGATAACCTGCAGTGCTTGTAGATTGGAAGATATTTACAGGACTGAAATGAAAAGTTTACTTAAAGGAGCTGACGACTTACTCAGATCATTTTAAGGAACTTATTTCTACATGTATCAAAAGGTCAGTCACCTGACTGGTGCCTAAATCCTTTTAACCCGGGTGATTGGTCAAAAGGAAACAAGCCCCACATCAACCAGCTTCAGGTCCTGTGATTGATTTAGGTCATTGTTTCTTAATCCGGTCTTCAGGGACCCAAAGTCGGTCCACATTTTTACTCCCTCCGAGCTCCCTGCCAGACAGTCCACATTTTTACTCCCTCCGAGCTCCCTGCCAGACAGTCCACATTTTTACTCCCTCCGAGCTCCCTGCCAGACAGTCCACATTTTTGCTCCCTCCGAGCTCCCTGCCAGACAGTCCACATTTTTACTCCCTCTGAGCTCCCTGCCAGACAGTCCACATTTTTGCTCCCTCCGAGCTCCCTGCCAGACAGTCCACATTTTTGCTCCAGGAGCTGTGAGAGACCAAAATCCATGGACTGTCTGTGGGTCCCTGAGGACCGGAGTGGGAAACACTGATTTAGTTTAGTTAGAACCAGGTTGTAAGCTCCTCTGGTCACTTTCTGTAATTCCTTACATGGTCTAAATGAGGCTGCCGTCAGGTGAGATGAAGCCAGTGTGGCAGAAGTAGAGGCGTGTTAATTTGCGGCATAGCATCACTGTTATGGGGAGTGTGTGACTCTGTTCTTGTAACCCAGGACTCCCTTCATTCCCTGATGGCCACCCTGAGTGCCTCCAACCCCTTCTTCATCCGTTGCATCAAACCCAACATGGAGAAGGTAGGCCGAACGACAGATGCTGTGATCAGCTCATAATGATGAGAAAGTTTCACGACTCTGCTCCTTATTCTCATGTTTTCCCGGAAAATGGTAGAATTCGATTAAAAACAATTGCCATTTACACTTGGTACAATTATGCCATTTGTTTTCTCCCAGAACATGGGAGAAAATGTCAAAGAGCATTCAATAGCATTATCTGCATCAGAAGATCCTTTTATCTCTAAGAGTTTCACTACTGATGGGCCATTTTGGGGAGCTGGTTTGTGCCTGTCAAGGCCTCTTTAATGCTTTAGTCCCGAGCTGGTAGAGCACAGAGAGTCTATTGGGGAGCATGGAAGGCGATGGGCGAAGGCCTGGCTTTGCCTAAATGTGAAAAGCTGAAGTTGCTGCTCGTTCTGCGAGTGAGCGTGTGACAATGCAGAGGACACGCTGTTCCAGCGCTTCCTGGGGCTGTGAAAGGGGCCCTTTGTGCGTCGCTAGAACGCAACCGGGCATCGGCGCCTCGGCATTCCTGCCACCCAAAGCCGTCGGCAGGGGCGCAGAGGTCACAGCTGTCCTTTCTAGCCGCGGTGCGCTAGCCAGTTGACCTTTGACCTTTGGCGGCGGAATGTCAGGAAGGGCCGACAATGAAAACACGAAGCGAGAGAGGAGTGCCCTGCTCCCTCACTCCCACACGATGTACTTACAGCTGGTATTAATCCACTTCTTAAGGCTTTCACTATGAAGGTGTCTTATGAAAGTGGTATGAACGTATCGTGAAGGGCTTTTTAGCTAAAGTGTTACCAATGGTTCGCACATACACACCAAACAGGGGAATAGAGTAAAACAGTGGCCCATAGTGTGGAACATTCAGCCCGTTGTGTTTCAGTGCCCACAAGGATCAGATTCAGCCTGACGGAGCATTAGATGGAGTCCTCTGGGTACCATGAATTCAGTGCAGACCTGTATCACGCCTTATGGCAGCCAAGTCAAAACATAAATTTGAATGCATTGTTTGTAAGTGATGCAGGTTTCTCTAGAGGCTGAAGGTTAGATTGTATACTGTATGCTTTAACATGCAGACGCCTAGTGTCTTCGACCCAGAAGTGGTCCTGAATCAGCTGCGGTATTCCGGGATGCTGGAGACTGTAAAGATCCGACGGGCTGGGTTCCCAGTGCGCAGAACATTTCAGGACTTCCTCAGCCGGTAGGTTTGGAGTTCGTTCAAGACCAGCATGCCTGTGCTTCCTTCGGCTAGACGGAGCTCAGGAACCTCAGAGACCAGACTTCACCAGGCACATTAACTGATTATTTGGTATTGTCTCTGAAGGCAGGGATAAGATTGCTGTAGATCAGGCATTTCCAGCCTGGGGTCCGTGCCCACCCCCGCATCTCATGCGTCCATAGACCAGTTTCATTGAGCTGGCTGTAAAGATGTACCTTAATTTGATAGAATGTCAGTGTGATCATCGTTTACACAATGTGAACAATATTCAAGGGGGTCGAAATGCCCCCCCCCCCCCCAAGTCCTGAGTTTTGTGTTACTTATGTAATCACATTTTAGTGGTGGGGGGTTTCTTATTTTTTCCTGGGGTTTAAACAAAAGGCTGAAAAAGCCTTGCCCAATATTTAAAGTATTTTACTTTTTTATAGTCTTTTTTGGCCTTAATATTAATGGAATATTAATAAATGCATTTTTGTGCTGAACACTATGCTCTTACTTTGGTTCTAAACCATCCAGCAAAGGGAATATGACTTTCAGAAGACCTGACCTATGATCAGTAGTGGGTGTGGAATATGTGGCCCATATTGATATATGCTGGCCATGCATGTGTAGTGTGTGTTCGATTCACATCTGAATTCTAGCCAGTTGCTTTGTGAGCATGTACCCACATCCATCTGAAGTTCTCACTATGATGTTGCACCTTCAGATACAAAATGATCATGAAGAAGAAGAACTCCAGCGGTGAAGAGAAACAGATGTGTGCTGGCCTGCTGGCGACGTATGACAGCGCGCAAAAGGAGTGGCAGCAAGGGAAGACTAAAGTAAGAGCGGTGGTGAAGAACACAGTACTCCAGGCTCACTTGCACTTTCAGCTGTAGATATATGCCCAGCCAGTGTCTCGGGGTCGCAGAAATGTGGGGGGGGTCGCTCATTTTAGGTGTCTGACTCCTGGTAGATCCGGTTCCTCTCTGCTTCAGGTCTCACCAGCCCAAAGGCATCATATAATGATCCATTTGCAGAATATGAATTCTACAATTTTCTGACATTATGTGAGAATATCCATTTTACCTTTCAGTCAAGGACAGCATATATATTTTCTCATATTGTCTTTTCGTGTTATAATCTGTAGTTCTGATTCATGGGAGTTTTACTTTCACAAAAATGTTCTGAGGGCAGAACAAAAAATGATTGGTTCAGTGAGATACTTAATCAGATTGTAGAGGAGGTGGGTCCAAGCAACTAGTTGCTTAGACGCACCTCTTCTACAATCTGGTTGGTTATCTCTCTGAACCAATCATTTTTTTTTCTGCCCTCAGAACATTTTTGTGAAAGTAAAACTCCCAAGAGCGTAGTTCTATACGGTTGGTCAAAAGCAAAATATTCATATACCAAAAAAAAAACAAGATTCAGGAACAATCGATTGTACTGTTCTGCCATTTGTTTGTTTAGTGTTCATTTTCATTTCCTTATGTGGTGAACCTATTTTGCAAACATGGTCCGTCCCACTTTCCCATGGCAAATCGGGGCTTTCCCAGCGAGTCCTGAGGCTGTGGGGCAGCAAAGCCTGCTGGGTAATTACCCTGTGGAAAGACCACTGGATAGCCACACCGGGATGTGGTTTGGCCCTCCAGTTTCCCTTTACATTGGCCGGAGACGGAAGCGCAGAAGTTAGAAGAGTAAGGATTGCTTTGAATGAAAAGATAGAAAAGCATACATACCACCCTAGCTGTGTTGAAAACAGGTTAGTGGCTCAAAAAAAAACCTGGAAAAATTGGGGGGTGGGGGACCAGGGGTGTTGAGTCTCCCATAGGAAAGGTTTCAAGGATTCCTTGACTTTCTTTTTCTCGGTTGGTGGGTATGCACCCTGCTACAGCTGGTCTTGTTAGGAGTTTATATGTTTCTGTGTTTGTCATACGTTATCGTATCACGGGCACAATTTTGTAGAATAAAAAGAAATGTCCTTGAAGCACCCACCATACAAAACCCAAATTCAACAGCTTTTCAAACACGTTTGTTTTTCTATGCCCCCATTTGGTTTGGTGGTTGGACGCGTCAGACATGACAGATTTTGGAAGTATATACAAGACTGTATTGTATAATTAAACCTGCAAGAAACAGATAAACTACACTGACCAATTTTTAAAGGACTACTCTATGGTGGCTGTAGGAGCTTATCAGTAGTAAGGGTGTGAGCGGGGGAGTGCCGTTTGTCTTTAGGGTGCTGGAGAAGCAGACGGCTCTCAGACAGAAAAAGCGCTTTTTGAGAGCCAATTAGTGCCTGTTTTATTGGCCTGTTGTGTAATTCTTTGACATTTAACTGGGCAAGCTGCTATTTAACAAGTAGATTTGCAGATATGCAGGAAGCTACAAGACTCCACCCATTATGTTAGCCCAGATAAATTAATCTCACTTGTGTCGTCTGTATTGCTTCCGAACTTATAAGCACCAGTAATGGTTTTATATTTATTTAGTGAGACTTCAAGTCCAGGAATTAATTATAATGCAGCCTGGGTAATGGCACAATAACGTGATTTAGTTATCTGTATTAGTGAAAAAGGCTTGGGGTCAGAGAGCATCCTGGCATAATTCATTCTGTGGCCTTGCTTAAGGGCCCATCAGTGATATGAATACTCGGTCACCCGTGGGATACGAACCCATAACCTGTTGGACACAGGTACAGATCCCTAACCCAATGAGCTACATGCCACCCTAAAATGTGTGATATTATATTATAATTAAAGATTCATGCATACGCCTCTACATGGACTTTCAGCCTTTCAGAGTGTGGCTAGCAGCTGTGACAGCCTACGTAGCTTCAATACAGCAATAGCCAAGATCACTAATGGAGGCAAAGCCAGGAGAGTGTGGGTGGCAAAGCTGGATTTTTTGAGTCGCATGACTGTGAGCACACATTTCTTGGGTATGTGAAAAGTGCTATATGAATGTAATTTATTAAGATTATTATTATTATGATTATTATTAGTTGTTACATGCTTAGGGAAACCCTGTAGAGAGTTTGTGTGCGCTTCAATGTAGAGACCTGCACTCCCGCGGGACCCAACGCACCGAGTGCGGCGCGGGACAAGATTTGATGGGTGAATGTGGGTGCGGGCGGTAAGGTCCTCATGTATGTGCGGGTTGCGGGAGAATAGAATTAATCGCGGGACTCCCGCAAAATGTAATTATCTTAAAATTAATTTATTAAAAACAAATACTCATTTATCTACTGCACACAAGCAACAAGAACGACTAAGTTAAAATAATAACAATTTACTGGCGAATCGTCTACAGAAACTACAATTGCCGCGCTCTGAGTGCCGGGGGACGTAACCGGACACCCCAAGAAGGAATCAGCCTGGTGCTTGGACGGGATGGCATGTTCTGAAAAGCTCCTCGTTCGTGTCCATGTTCATCATTCCATTTAATTAAACTAAAATAAAACGAAACATATTTGTTTATTTTCCGTTTCTTTTTTATATACACTCAAAAGGGAAGCAAGTGAAACAAATAACAGAGTAGCGGGAAGAAGCGGTAAAAATAAAACTACTTATATGTTTACCTGCGGGATTTTGCGGGCGGGAGCGGGACAAAACTTGAATACTGCGGGCGGGAGCTGGAGAAAATAATATATATTTTTTGCGGGAGCTGGCGGGAGCGGGACAGAATCTTGCGGGAGCGGGACTGAAAAATCCGTCCCGCGCAGGTCTCTAGTTCACTGCCACCCCAAGAGCTGCCGGAACGTCTTAGCTAAAAGGTATCACTGTGTGAATAGAACAATTCCAAGGCACATTTGCGGATGATGGGCTGTATGGTGACCGCCTCTGATATGCTGCATGCAACTGAATCTTACAAATCTACAGCTAGTCTGTCAAAACGAGACGAAATACCAGCCAGAGTTGTGAGATGGGCCAGACAGGTTTCTGTAAAAGAATACCGTAATTGATTATTCTTTTTTGCATTGTTTATATATATATATATATATATATATATAGACACACACATACACACACAGACTTGAGGTACATAGTCTCTGCTTGGTCAGTGTCTGTTGTGGAAATCATCAACGGATATTTGAGCTTCAGCTATGAAGAAAACTTGTGAGGATAAACTTTGGTAGCTAATAAATTTGTCTGGTCTCTGGCGTATTTAATTTAAGCTTTTTGCTTTTAAAAGTTATTAACAATGATTGATTAAAGTAAGCAGTTTACACTGAATGCAGCCAGCTGAACTCAAGGGCACCGGGGAGATTAGTCAAGGGTGAATTCACACAGACGCCAGGTGTTCTTTTCTCTCAGCGTGTGGGGTAACGTAAAGAGCAGGAGAATCAGAGGTGTTTCCATGCTTTGAGAACCAAGCTCCATTAGATGCACTCCAGATGTGGGTGAAGTAATGAGCAAGTCTAGTCTGAATGGCTCATTGCGTTCGTTTAACTTTTGGCTTCTTTGTTCTAAAAATGCTTCTGCCGTCTGACTTCCGCCGGAGTGTGCGGAGTGCTGCCAGGGTTTCGTGTGTGATTACCGGAATCTCTGCGCCCACACTGGGGTGTCGAGAGGGCTCCGTGCCCAGAATGCATGTCCTGTGTCAGCATGTTAGGCGATGCCATGGGCATCATCCGTCGCCTTAATGAGTGTATTGATGTTCTGAGCCTGCTAACCCTAGAATGGCCCCAGCTATTTAGAGTTTGCGGTGAACGCGTGCAATGTGTCTTTCTGCAGCGTATCCGTAGCACTCTGCTGTCGCAACACATACTTTAACTCCGCGGTCGAAAAGCTCAATCTGCCTCCAACCACACAGAATGGTTGGCTAACCCTCTGCCGTCAGGCCCCCGGCTGGTAGGGGAGGGTTAATAAGCCTGGCTGCACTTCCCTTCCTCTCCTGCCCCTATGAGAATGCAGGGGGGGCGTGGCTTGTGCTCTGCCCCGCCCCCACATTCTCGCTGTCTCCATGCAGTCGGAGAGGGCCGGGAGAGCAGGAGTGGCAGCGATGGCAGTCAGCAGTGGGGTCGTGGAGCCTCTCTGTATCCCCCGAGCTCCTGACCTCTGCAGCAGGGGCCGGTTCACAGGCCTGCCCCCCCCTCAGGCTTGTGTGTGTGTCCCACAGGTGTTCCTGAAGGAAGCGCTGGAGCAGAGACTGGAGAAGGAGAGGGAGGAGGTGCGGTACAAGGCGGGCATGGTGATCCGAGCCCACATCCTGAGCTATGTGGCCAGGTGAGCGGTGCTGCTGGGCCGGGGGGGCGGGGGGGGGCACATGTGCACTTGTTTCCTGCATATTTTTTCAGCTGATATCTTTTTAGTTTTATTTGCTTGAAAGTGTATGTGCATGTCAAAGAGTAGCAGACACCCAGTAGGTAAATGCTGCTAGTTAGGAATCTTTGCTTGCGTGAGCAGCAATTGTAAATGAATTGATGGTTAATAATGACATCTTACAGTTTTTTTTCTCATTCTAACATATAAGCATACTTTTTATATGGATATTATGGAAAAGGCTAAACTTAATGTGTAATCAGCTTCTCCTCCTTGTAAGGACAAATGTCCTTTGTTTACAAGTGAAATATGCTTGCAGCATCTGTGAGAGAGTTCTGTCCACATTGTTTTGCCTGCAAGTTCTAAACCTGGAATGAGCTGACTGCTCTCAAGCGTATCACTGTGCTTAAGCAACTAAGCTAATTACTTGTACTAGGACCCAGTGAAATTTTTGACAAGCAGAGAATCAGATGTGCCATTAAGATTCATAGCAAACTGCATGGTCACATGACTCTGACATGGTTTCCAGTGTCAGTTTTTAATGTAAACCAGGCCACTATCTGGTGGAAGTGTAGGATACTAGACCATCTGGTAGAAGCATATGAGAGGTGTCACTTTCCCCATGACTACTGGAAAAAAATGTTAACCACGTGGTGTCTCATGGTTCATCCAACGCAGCGAGTCAGGAGATAAGCTATATGTTCTAGACTGGTGAAGGTCCAAACAGGGTGACCATGGTGTAACTGTCCAATAAATTTTGTGGGCTCTAGTTATGGGTTCATGGCGGGGAACTGGGAGTGGAACATAAGAGATGTTGTTTTGGGTAACATCTTTAGGAAGCACTTTAAGAAGGTGCGGACCAACATCATCATCATCCAGAAGAACTACCGTGCTTACTTCTGGAGGCGCGCCTTCCTGCGTCTGCGCCTGGCCACTCTGGTCTTCCAGAAGCACCGCCGTGGACAGCAGGCTCGTAGCCTCTGCTGCAAGCTGCGAGAAGAGAAGAGGAGAAGGGAGGAAGAGGAGAGGCGCAAGAGGGAGGAAGAGGAGAGCAGAAGGAGGGAAGAGGAGGAGCGCAGAAGGAGAGAGGAGGAGGAGAGGCAGCAGAGAGAGGAGGAGGAGAGGCTGAAACAGGAGGAGGAGAGGCTGAAACAGGAGGAGGAGGAGCGGCTGAGGCAGGAAGAGGAAGAAGAGCGAAAGAGGAAGGAAGAGGAAGCAGAGAGGCTCCGTGTCCAACAAGAAGAGGAGTTAAAGAGGAGGCAGGAGGAGGAGGAACTGAAGGCTAAACAGGAGTTGGAGTCCCAACAGAAAGATCTGACTCTGGAGCCATCATCTTCATCCCGGAGTGTGTCCGAGGAGGAGAGCCGTCAGATGGAGGAGATCCTGCGTCTGGAGCAAGAGATCGAGCGGCTCCAAAAGCAGCGGGAGGATGGAGTGTCCCAGCTGTGTGAGCGCGGTAGGGAGGAGCTTCAGCGGCAGCGTGATGCTGAGATCTACCGGCTGGAGAAGGAGGCCTCGCGTGTGGCTACAGAGTTCCTGGAGCTGCTGGACTTTGGGGTCTTGGAGCAATCTGTCTCAAGTGAGGAGAACCTTCATGACCTCTCAGATAGCAGTGCCCCACTGGCTGAGGAGGAGGCAGATGAGGGCTTCCCTGCAGAGGATGAGCGCATCCACCTGCCTGACTTTCCATCTGCTGTGGGAAACCCCTTGGATCAGGAGGACTTCTCCAGCCTGCCTCCCCCCCCACCTACATTTGCAGAGGAGCTGCAGCCAACCATATCTCCCAGCCCTTTACCCCCACCACCGGTTCCAGACTGCGCCAAGGAGGACGATGAGCCAGACTATGCAAGCATCGACATGCCAGAATCTGAGGACCCCATCTACAGCAAGCCCCCAGACACGGAGTCAGACTATGACCAGGACGAGGCTGAGGAAGCCCGACACGGCTATGAAGACGCCGCCAGCACTAACGGAGGTCACATGACTGACGAGGAGGTCCTCCGTAAGTCCTGTTGCACCTACAACAGCTTGGACTCGTACCGTGACAGCTCTGAATCTGTGAGTATACCCCTATGAAATGCCTTAAAGGAAAGATCAATAATTAGTTTATTGCAGGGTTATTCAAATCGCAGTCCTCGAGGTCCAAGCACTGCTGGTTTTCCAGCCTTCCTTTACCTGTCAGTCAGGTGCGAAGCCTCTGACCAATCAGAATCATTCATTATTAAACTAACTACCTGGGAGAACTGAAAACAAGACCTGGATTTGAAATCGAGGTCCAGATTTGAAGAACCCTGGTTTATTGCTTCATATTTGATAATAATAAATATGATGAATGCAGTCCAAATGATTACTATGGTTTTAATGATATAAATAGTATTAATAGTAAATATTTGCATGTTTCTCAACAAGTATTGCAATTCCTCATCACACCTAAGCACGATGAAAGACCATAAGGACTGCATACGTTAAGAGACACTCCATATTGACGGTGATGTTATTTGAAGTTCATTGACAGTGATGATGACAATGATGTGGACACAGATGAGGAGGTGTCCAATGGCAGAGTCAGTCTGCTCAACGGGAGTGGGCCTCCATACTTTCACAGTTACCTCTACATGAAAGGTAAGCTTGGCGCCCCTTCCCTACCACAGAGTCCTGCACTCACTCAGGAGCCCCCATACTTATACTCTGCTCTTATTATCTTTCATTTATGTCTTCATGATTAATAAGTAGAGGTGGCATCATGGCACCGTGGTTAGCGTACCTCTGGAATTGTGGTTTGAGTCTCCGCCGTGGCTCCATGTGTGTGGAGTTTGTATGTCCTCCCCTGTGTATGTACTCTGGTTTCTCCCCACAGTCCAAAAACATGCTGAGGTGAATTGGAGTTGCCAAATTGCGCACAGCTGTGAATGGCGTGTGCGTGTGCGTGCCTTTTGATGTGCAGTATTGGAGCAAGAGCTAATATTCTAAAGAAAGCAAGATGATAGCTATTGGAAGCAAAAAGACAAGGACTGACATTAAGAGCGTAAAGGAAACGTAAGAGACCATGAAGTCAGCATTGAGTAGTGTTTGCTTGTGGTATCATGCAGAAAAATGGGACATTACTAAATGTAACAACAAATAGCTTGTTAAGTTCAAATGTAACCATTCACCATACTGAAAGGCTAGTCTGAGGAATGGGTTCCACTCTGTCAGGTGGGCTGATGAACCCATGGCGCCGACGCTGGTGTGTCCTGAAAGATGAGACCTTCATGTGGTTCAGAGCCAAGCAGGAGTCCCTCAAGTCTGGGTGGCTGTACAAGAAGGGCGGCGGCCTGTCCACTCTCTCCCGGAGAAACTGGAAGATGCGTTGGTTTGTCCTGCGGGACTCGAAGCTCATGTACTTTGAGAATGACAGTGAGGAGAAGCTGAAGGGAACCATCGACATCCGGACAGCCAAGTAAGAGCGCCATCTATTGCCTGGATGTGACCAGAGCCCAGTATGTGCAGCTTTCCGTAATGAAGTTTCACGAGAGCCATATTTAATGAATCAAGTGATGCATAGGTATAAAGAGTATGGTTAGCGATAGTTTTGACTGATTGTTTCAAAAAACAATTTGTGGTTTGTGGTTTCCTGTGCATAGAGAAATAGTGGACAATCATGAGAAGGAGAATGCATTGAACATTGTCACTGAGGAAAGGACCTTCCAGGTCTTTGCAGAATCACCAGAGGATGCCAGGTGTGCCGCCGTCGTTTGGCCATTAAGACTTTTTAATCTATCTATCTATCTATCTATCTATCTATCTATCTATCTATCTATCTATCTATCTATCTATCTATCTATCTATCTATCTGTCTGTCTGTCTGTTTGTTCATTAAAAATTTTTATTATTTGAAACACAGTTGCTGTACTATATCTTATAGTGATTTCCAATTTCACACTTTAGATCTACAGTAAAGAGCGATTTGCGCCCCCTGCTGGAAGCCTAGTGCTCTTTACTCCATTGTCTCTAACCATGCTTAACTCTCCTCTGTGAGTGCAGTGGCTGGTTCAGTGTGCTGAGTCGCGTCCACAGTGCCACCCCGGAGCAGCTGCTGGAGATGCAACATGAGCAGGCTAACCCTAAGAATGCCATGGTGAGTGAAGTCGTCTACTCCCATACTGCGGTCACCTGCCACCAAGCTGTGCTGGAGAAATCTAAGCCTCCATCCCATCCCCATGTCTCCCTCCAGGGAACGTTGGATGTCGGGTTGATTGATTCTGTCTGTGCCTCCGACAATCCAGACAGGTAAGACTACTCCGAAATCTGTGAATTTGGATATACCAGGATACATTTGACTATGTGAAGCTTGGGTGTGAGATTTCTAGTTTGAATGACACCTGTTTGGGTTATCTGGTTGCCATATGTTTGCCCTGAGGATGGGTGGCGTGACAGAGGTTAATGTCTTCCGCTGCAGGCCCAACTCCTTTGTGATTATCACAGCCAATCGGGTGATCCACTGTAATACAGACACGCCAGAGGAGATGCACCACTGGATCAGCCTTCTGCAGAAGCCAAAGGGCGACTCCAGGATCGACGGCCAGGAGTTTGTGATTAGAGGTGAGTGACATTTCACATATGAAGTCTTGTCAGATTGATTAAATGTTTATATCTCAAAGGTGCACACTGTAAGGTATCACGGGGGCAGCATGGTTGTATAGTGGTTGCGTGAGGTGTTGCCTCACACCTCTGTGTCCAGGGTTCAAGTCTCCACCTTGGCTCCACGTTTTTGAGATTTGCATGTTCTCCCTGTGTCATTATGGGGTTTCCTCTAGATTCCCCCCACAGTCCAAAAACATGCTGAGGCTAATTGAAGCTACCAGATTGCCCATAGGTGTGTAAGTGTTAGTGAATGGTGTGTGAGTGTGCCCTGTGATGGGTTGGCATCTCAAGATGGGTTGTTCTCAGCCTTATGCCCATGGCCTTCAGCATAGGATCCGGAGAAAAACTCCGGATAATCTTTTTTCCAACATTTGAAACACAGTTTTAGATCTAGCAAAACAATGGTTTCTCCTGTTTAATCAGAGCACTGGTTTTGCTCAGTCTTGACCCTGGTTTTTCCTGTTCTGCTCAGGCTGGCTACACAAGGAGATGAAATCGGGTGGAAAGAGCACCTCCCTCAAACTAAAGAAGCGCTGGTTTGTGCTGACCAACAACTCCCTGGACTACTACAAAACCTCAGAGCGCGGAGCCTCGAAGCTGGGCACGCTGGTCCTGAATAGCCTTTGCTCTGTGGTGCATCCAGATGAGAAGGTCTTCAAGGAGACGGGTAAGAGAACAGGACCTTCTCGCTTTCTGTGCTTGATGACAGAATCTCCACAACCAGCGCTGGGTCATATTCTTGTTCAGGAGCAAAACAACATCATCCATAGGAACAAGTGCTTGTGGAATCTATTTTTTTTTTTAAAATCCACTGCATGGGAACCATATTTCCTCTTTGGGTGTCCAATACAGTTCTGCGACTTGTCAGCCCAACCTCCACTCTTTGTTCCTTTTAGGCTATTGGAACATTATTGTTCATGGGCGCAAACACTCTCACCGCCTCTACACCAAGATGCTGAACGAGGCCATGAGATGGACCTCTGCCATACAGGGAGTCATAGACAACAAGGTTCCCATTGAGACCCCTACCCAGCAACTAATCCGGGACATCAAGGTACGACTGTTGGGACAAGAAGGGAAGAGAACTTTAGGCCTGGTACTTAGGGCTAGATGCTCCTTAGTATTTCTGTTGGTGTGCAACAGTACAGCAGTCTGCCCTTCTGGCTCACGTGTGACATATTTCCATTGCAGCCGTGGAGGCACATGCCTTTACAGACCCTGTTTACGGCCAGGGACACAAACGGTAGTTGAGTGAGGTATCTGAAGCTGAGCTGGTGGCATTCCTCAGTGTGTGAAACTTGCAGAACCACTTGATCTTTGCTTTTGTGTGTTTTTTGTGTGTTTATCTTTTTTGCAAGTACTGTAGTTTGTGAATGGTATGCAGTGCTTTGTTTTGCCATAATATCGAGTTCCATGAGATTTGGGATGATGCACAGTGGGACATTTCGAGAGGGTATTAAGAACAGTTCGCAGGGAAAAAAACTCAGGATTTCCCAGAACTCCAGCAGTCCGATGTACCTGCTCTGCTCTTCAGTTTCCTCCTGAGTGCTGTGTTTCTCTTTCCATCATGACAATGAAGTGCTGGGAAATCACTATCTTCTCTATGGCAGAATTCAAATCATCTTCATTCTGTATTTTATTAAGGTCCCAAATCTTTTACTGTTGTCGGTGAAGTATTATGGGTTGTGGGTCAGGCTCCGTACTGCTGTTGATCTTGTTCTTTTACTGCTTCCCCCAGGAGAACAGCCTGAACCCAGAGGCAGTGGAGCAGACGTATCGGAGGAACCCCATCCTCAGATACACCCAGCACCCACTGCACTCGCCCCTACTGCCACTGCCATACGGGGAAGTCAACATCAGCTGTGAGTTTGGCGTTATTCCAGCTCCTCACTGGCTTTACATTTAAGACCTTACCTTCTGACTGTGTACCTGTATGTTATTACCTTTTTTTCTCCTTTATCATCCTCTAGTCCAAAAAGAGAAGGGCTATGCTAGCCTGCAGGATGAGGCAGTAAAGATTTTCAACTCACTCCAGGAGATGGAAGTTGTGTCAAACCCAGTGCCTATCATCCAGGGCATTCTACAGACATGCCAGGACCTGCGGCCCTTACGGGATGAAGTGTACTGCCAGCTGATCAAGCAGACCAATCATGTTCCGCAGCCCAACAGCCCAGCCAATCACGCGCACTGGCATCTGCTCACTTGCATGAGCTGTTCCTTCCTGCCCAGTCGCTCCATTCTGCGCTACCTCAGGTTCCACCTCAAGAGGTACGCACCATGTTTCCCCCCACTGGGCGTCGGTGCGCGGTCTCACATCCTTTTCCCCGTGTCGTGTATCTAAGCCATCTGCCTGACTCCTCAGCCATTAAACCTCCGTGTCTTTGTATATTTCTGTCAAGGATTAAGGATCAGTTTCCAGGGACTGAAATTGAGAAGTATGCTCACTTTATTGGGGAGTCCTTGAAAAAGACCAAGTCCAGGGAATACGTGCCATCCCAGAGTGAGATTATGGCCTTACGGATGAGACAGGAGATGACCACCACTGTTCACTGCCATGGAGGTGGATCCTGCAAAATCAGCATCAACTCACACACCACCTCTGGGGAGGTCCGTCTCAGCACCACACAAATACCTACGTGAATCGCGTGATTTTAACCTTCTGTCTGCCATCTAAATGCCATCTTTCAACCTTTTCAGTGTTGCAGGGTGATTTGGGTTATTTATATAAAAATCTAACTGTTCTGATTTTTTGAGTGTAGTCGGTCACACAGCTGAATACGGAACATTCATTGTTTTCTACCTTCTTACAAATGTTACAGTGTGTCATTCTGTTCTTCACTGCATGTGTATTCTCTCTAGGTCAGCCTCACTGGTTTATCTATAAATCCAGTAGGCTATTTTTTTTTTTTTTAATGGCCCGTGTCACATGTCTTTCTCCCTCCCCGCAACGTTTTTATGCTTTTCTGTAGGTGGTGGAGAAGCTGATCCGGGGACTGGCTATGGAGGATAGCAGGAATATGTTCGCCCTCTTTGAGCACAACAACACCGCAGACCGGGCTGTGGAGAGCCGGGTCTTTGTGGCTGATGTGCTGGCCAAATTTGAGAGGTAGATACTCAGCAATGAATCATTGTATCTGTTAGCATACTGCTGTTTGAAATCTCATTTGTTGCATGGTTAATATTCATGTAAGTATGATTTAAACCCCTTAAACTCTCTTATGCGGCTGCTGATGCTTCTCCAGGCTGTCAGGCAGTGAGGAGGAGGAAGATGGAAAATGGCGTCTCTATTTTAAGCTTTACTGCTTCCTGGATGTGGAGAATGTGCCGAGAGAAGGGGTGGAGTTTGCCTTCATGTTTGAGCAGGTTAGTAAACAAGAGCATATTGTCAGTGTAAGAAAATGAATTTGAACCCGTAATAATGTTAATATCAAACAGTGAACGTTACAAAATCTGTTAATAAGATTAATTATGTGTTTAATTGGAAACTCACATATTCACATATTAATTGGAAATTCACATATTTAAACAGCTATCTTCTATCCAGCAGTTTTCCATGACTGCTTACCCGTTAACAGGTTGCAGTGACAGCTGCATGATGAATTTATATATGTTAATATGTGTGTCTGTATCTAGCCCGGATAACGTATATATAGTGTGGGTAATGTATGTCTAATTTATGTATGTATGTAATTTTTTATGTATAACGTACGTAATGTATGTGCAATCTATGTATTGAATTTAACTACAAAGTTAACAAAGGTGACTGCATTTTTTTCTGTGCTTCTTCAGTTAATACTACTCTATTAGAGAGTTACACACATGAATAACTGTACATCTACTGTTAATGAAAATGATGGCGATCATAGGCTTGAAAACTTTATAAGTTGTGTGTGATTTGAATAGTGGCACAGAGTCAGCGGTTACAGCGTGGTGGAGCTAGGCTAACTACTGTCCTGCTTCCTGTCTGTGTCTGACTCCCCACTAGGCCCACGAGAGCCTGATCCACGGCCACTTCCCTGCCCCAGAGGAGACCCTGCAGCACCTGGCCGCCCTGCGCCTGCAGTACCTTCACGGCGACGTGGGTCGCGGCGGCTGGAGCCTGGAAACCATCTACCCCGTGGGGCGCCTGCGGGCCCGCATCCTGCAGTCAACCAAGGCGGGTGCGGGCAGCGGGGCGGCCGGGGCGGGGGCGGGAGCGCCCGGCGCGGCGGGGGCAGGCAGCCACACACTGGAGCGGCGGCGCACCAGCTTCCTGGATGGTACCCTGCGACGCAGCTTCAAGACGGGCTCGCTGCGTAAGCAGCGCATGGAGGACGAGCAGATGCTGGAGATGTGGGTGCGCGAGGAGATGTCAGCCACGCGTGCCAGCATCCAGGAGAAGTGGTCCCACCTGCATGGCCTTCCCCAGCACCAAGCCATGTTTAAGTACATGTCCGTCGTCAGGGAATGGCCCGGCTACGGCTCCACCCTCTTCGACGTGGAGGTGAGAGCTTCCTGGTGTCACCGCACCCATGAGATGCAAAATAAAAAATCAAACGTACGGGAAAATATTAATTCACTTTTGTTGACATTTCGCACGAATAATCATATGGACGTATGTCACTGAGTGTGCATTTTGGTTTAGCTGTGGGTTAGAAAGCTAACGGGAGGAAGTAGTGAGAAATGCTGAGATCAGGGCTGACCCGCGCGATAATGTCCCTGCAGTGCAAGGAGGGCGGCTTCCCCCATGAGCTGTGGCTGGGCATCAGTGCAGAGAACGTCTCCGTCTACAAGCGAGGTGACCCCAGGCCTCTGGAGACCTTCCCCTACGAACACATCGTCTTCTTTGGAGCACCGCAAGCCAGCACCTACAAGATCACTGTGGATGAGAGGGAGATGTTCTTTGAAACTCTACAGGTAAAGGGAGTTCGGTGATGAGAATTGTCTTTTCCGTATTAATCTTGCAAATAGCATCTTAAGGAGACTGTTTTCACCTTTCAGGGTGGAGAGATCACCAAGATCATGAAGGCTTACATTAATATGATAGTGAAAAAGCGATGCAGCATAAGATCTGTATCGAGCTGCGGAAGCGCCTGGACCAGGTGATGAGGAAGGTCCAGTCAGAACACAGTGTCCTCACGCTCAGCGGATGGATCCATCGGAAATGTCGGTCGTCAACAGAAAGGCTAATTCACAGATGCTAATTGGAAGCAAAGGACTGATGAAGACTGAAGGGACTATTACCTCAACCCTGAGGATTACTGTACATTCGGAAAGCTGGCACAATATAGAACATAATATATTTATGTAACTCTTTAAAATAAGGTTACAAAAACCTATTTAATTTGTTCATTTTGGCTAAATATCTCAACTGGTAGGTTTTTTTCCCCTTCTCCCTGGAGACAGAAAGCTGTTGGCTTGTTCTTCCCTTCGTCCCCAAGCTATGCAAAAAGCTCTCCCTCTGGCTTTCTTTGGTATGTCCTCATTTTCATAGGCACGGTCAGAAATATGACTCTTACTCTCATGCGGGTGCCGGAATTAAGGCACAGAGCTGTATGTCCATTCTCAGTGCCACAAGATCAAATATCCTCTCCCAGGAACTAGTTCTGAAGATGGCGTCTCTGCTGCTAGCGTCTTGTCATTATGCTCTCAGTGAGGGGCCAGCTATGGCAGTATGTTAATTAGATTTGGAATCTCATTTTATAGTGGGCTGAACGTCATGTTCCACAGTGTGATTCTTCATGGTCATAAATGCCCTTCTCTGTACAATATTTAGAAGGTGTAGTGTGTTGTTAAGTAAGGGTAAAATGATGAATGACTGTTACAAATCAGACTGAATTTAGTCTTCCAGGTACAGGAAGCAGTATGTCGGCCTGTATGCAAAATGGGGAAAGCGTGTTCCATCCCTGAGCTGAATGCCTTACACGGTCATGCTGCTTCCGAGTCTCTCTGTGATTTAATTGTTGAGACGTTCTTCCTTGTGGCAGATATGCAGAACGTGTCCTCCCAGCAGACTGCCTTGCTCCTACAGTGTTGTACTTAAATCACTGCTTTATGAGTTACTCATGTTCAGCATTTCACTATGCTGAGTGGTGCTGGGGTCTCTGTGCTGATATTTCCGTAGCCTCTAATAACTTTTTTAAAACAAAAAAATCCCAGTGACACCAAAAATCTGTATTTTTAGCTGGTATAATACAGGTTCTACCAAATGGAAGTGTTCTTGAAACAAATTAAAGTAGCAGGTATCTCTGGAGGAGGATGTCAAAACGTGTTTTTTTAAAACAGCGAAGGAATGGTTATTTATTGTTTTTCATTGCAGTTTTTATATGAGGGACACCAGTGATTACATAGCACACTGTGAACCTGGAAAGCACAGAGAGAGATGGTGTAATGATGAAGTGTGATGTCACTGTGTGGGATGGTGGATCGGTCCTTTATCGCCAGGATGTTCATACAGCACTGCCTGATTTGACTACTACTGTTACACAGGTTAATGTCTGGCTGCCGGCAGCCAGACCAGGCCCAGAATGTACTCGTATATTACTGTAGTTATGAACTTTGTGGATCTGTGTGTGTGTGTGTGTGTGTGTGTGTGTGTGTGTGTGTGTGTGTGTGTGTGTGTATGTGTGTGTGAGAGAAAGAGAGAGAGAGAGAGAGAGTATTAAGAAGGGGAGGCTGTTTTTGTAACTGGCTTTACAAATTTGTTTAATAAATTATTTGATTACTGATTTGTTGACTTCTGTCTTTTCTCAAAACCACATGCATTGATAGATTTTCTTTTTGATTTTCTTTTTATTATTCTATACAATTTCAGTCTTAATTCTTCTAAATTTTTGTTTTACATTTTAATAACAAACTCATCCTGTCCGTCCATTTTCTATACCCACTTCTCCTATTCAAGGGCACGGGGGGCATTTTTATTTGTAATATGTTTATATTATGTGTATATTAAGACAATAAAAAACTATTAAAGAAATATGTGTAAAATATATCATATAATGTATTAGCCGCCAAACTGAAAACAGTATGTGTCGGGGGTGGGGGGGGGGCAGATATCATTTGGTCCCCACAATGTGACACTTTTTATTTTGATGTTGTGGGACCATTTTTTCAGTTCCCAGAAGGGAAAATTCAATTTTATAAAGATCTGTGACTGCAATCAAAAAACTAAAAATGCCAAAAGACTTGTTGGGATTAGGGTTTTGTCCATAGAAATGCATGGACGGTCCCCACAAAGATATGAGTACAGTTCTTTGTGTGTGTGTGTGTGTGTGTGTGTGTGTGTATAGGGGTCGAGTCTCCCATCAAGCAGCTACGTCCTTTTTGACTCCAGACTTAATATTGATTATCTCAATATCTCATAAAAATGGTGTCTGTCAAGGTCTGGGATATGTTAGACAGTAAGCTATTAGGTACTCATAGTTGACATGTTAAATGCAGAAGACATTGGCAGGGATGAAAACCTGACTGACTTTGACAAGGACCAAATAGTTATGGCCAGAAGGCTGCATCGTCTGTGTGTCACAACACACAGGGTATCAAGCCCTGCTGTGTATGGCACTGTGTAGCTGCGGATGTGGACTTCTTGATCTAATGCATCCCACAGATGCTTGACAAGTACTTGGCCGTCCACATCCATTGCTCCAAGGTCCTGTTCCAACGCTGCGGTGCCCATTGCAGGTGCTGTCAACAGTAGACGAGGATTTGCATACGCACTCTGACTGGCCTGCAGCTACATAGCCCCATATGTAGCAGGGCTCGATGCCCAGTGTGTCGTGACAAAGTCACTTGCCATTTGTGCCACAGTAACCCTTCTGTTGAATTGTACCAGATAGGACAGCCTTTGTTCACATCTTGCATCGATAAGTCTTAGCCGCCCAGCATCCGGTCAGCAGTTCATGGTTTTTCCCTCCTCAGACCACTCTCAGGAGGTACTCACCGTGATTTGCCATGAACTCCCCAAAAGCCTTGCCATATCAGAGATGCTATGATGCAGTCATCTGGCCATAATGATTTAGCCCTTGTCAAATTCACTCAGCCCCCCACACTTGCATTCAACCCTTGTTCCCGACCAGCACCATGTCGCTCCCCTGCTCCACATGCAACCACTGGCAGTCAATGGCCTCCTGTCCATTACCGCCAATGTTCCCATCCACTGCTTCCATCATAACCCAAATCTGGCTGTGTTCCTTGATGTGGCAACTGTGAAAGCAATCTTTTTTGCAGGGGTGACAAGAGAGTGCAATGACACTTTAGGAGGTAGGCCGCCATGATCTTTCCAGGGTCTGTCGCCATGCCCTCACTACCCACGGTGTGATCCAGAAACTCTGGGTATATCTCAATATACATACTTGACCGTATTTGTGTTCTTGTGTAACCTGTTTTACGTTATCTTCTATTGCTGAAGACCAGTTCCAGTACTCAAGAACAGAAGTACAGAGAGCAGTAAAAATCCCTGGATGTCGTTCTTGCCCCACCCCAAATATCTACGTCATTGCATTCTTGCCAAACGAGATCAATCCCATGATTCACTGCACCCCTGGTTCGTGCTTGGTAGGCAAGTTAGCAATGTGATCTTGCCAAGACCACAATTATGAACGTCTTGTACTTGGTATTGTGTCTTCTGCCACAGGAAGGAGGACACACTTACAGGGGCGTGTCTACATGGTGGCCAGAGGTGACATCAATATCTCTTGGAATCTGATTGGCCACCACAGTACTCCGCCCCCCCCCACACCAGCTGAATGGTAGTTGGATTTTGTATGTAATATTTACCTATCAGGTTCTTTCAACTTGTATTCCCCTGAATGCGTAACTCATGCAGTGAGTGCGCCGGCCAGAAGAAGTCAGCAGCTAGCAGCCAGCAGATGTAAAACTCAAGCTTGACGGCAGAATAGTGTGAAACAAAAGTACAGGCATGTAACATTAACCATGGTGTGTGGCACACTACTTTTCTTTCTGCTATAAAATCAACATAAGTAGTTTCAGCTGAATTAACAAGCTCTGGTTAGTAACTACCATTGTCATAGCAGTAGCCAGAAGGGTCTATATTTAAAAAGAAAGGCAGGGGGAACATACATTCTTGAGCCAGAAAATAGTCTTCTGAATGAAGTTATTTTTCTTGAGTATACCAGCCAAACTATAGAACGCTAGCAGATTATGCAATTAAAAAAAAAAATTAAACCAAATATTTTATGACAATATTTGTTATATTTGCGTAGTTACTAAATAGTCAGCCAGAACCTTTAGCATGCTTCATATTTTTAACATGAACAAAGTGATCATTTTAAGTGAATTACCATAGTTAACATAGATTAAAATAAATAAGCACCCACAAGTAAAATCAGCTAAAAAAAATTCAGTCCCACATGGGGAAACTCTGTGACTCCAATCAAAAACAAAAAACATCAAAACTTTTGTATTTTGTTTGTTTACTTATGGTTAATTTTATGGCTGGGTAGGGGTTAGGGTAGTCATTGTTGGGATTAAGGTCTTCCCATAGAAATGAATGAACAGTCCCCACAAAGATATGAATACAAACATGTGCGCATGTCTATGTCTAAAACCACAATTTCAAAATTTCATGTGTTTTTTAGACATCTTATATAAACATTTCTGCTATGTAGTTTATGTCTGTATTCCCCAAACTGTTTTGATAAAGTAATTCTATCCTTATTAACCCACTCATTCACACGGGCAATTTGGTAACTCCCTCGGCATGTTTTTGTACGGTGGGGGAAAGCCGGAGTACCCTTAAGGAAACCCCTGAGGACCCAAGGAAAACATGCAAACTCCACACCACCAGTCCTGGTCCCAGAGAAGTGAAGCAACAGTACTGTAAGTTTTTAAAATCCTCCTACAGCTTACAGTGTGTCTATAAGTTAAGTATGTATGCTATGGATTTAAACTGAGAGATTCGAATGATCCATATCGTATGTTAATTGGCATCGTACTGCAATCGAAACCGGAATGGCCCGAGGTAAAGCGATTTTTCTATCTAAAAGCCGAGTCGTTCCCGACGGAGATCACATGACCTATATTATCGCTGGGTTCTGATTGGCTGCACGCACGGCTACCTGAGAGGTTTTGTTTTCAGGCTCCGGTGTGAGGCGTTGTGACAGGCGTGTGAGCTGGCAAGTGTCAAAGTTCGCTCGGATAACTTTTAAACGAGGACGACAGTAATAGTTCGCTGTATAGTGATCTAGCTGTGCAAAAATGGTAGAGCTACGCTGTTTTCTGCCTGTTTTATTTGTCTTCGGTGTGCTGGTGATTTTGCCGCGGAGTTCTGTAGCTTACACAGGTAAAGTTTTTTCTGTGCCCTTCTAAATTATTGTAATGAAACGAGTAGTGTAAAAGTCTCCTTATGTATTTTCATATATATTATACGAAACATTTGAATTCAATTTTTGATGAAGACTTAAGGTTATTTTGTTTAATGCAAATTGTAAGACGTGGTAAACATTTTCGGGGGAATGAAGATAAACCAGTTTGCTAAGCTGGAATAGCTGGTTGTGGTCGGTAAGACTTTACTTTTTTGCATAAATATTTCCGAATTACCAATAGCAACTGGGGTATTCATGCGGGAATATTTAAAGGTTATGTACTCCTCCGTTGATGCTGTTAACATGGAATAAGCGTAATTCCTTTGCGCAAATAAATTAGTGTAATTAATATCAATTTCAACACACAGGTGAACTTTTGATCGTGGTTCATACTTTTGCCACTAATTTTATCTGAATATAACTTCTCTGTGTAAGATGAGACCGAATCTTGATTATCATAACAAAACTAAAAGTTGTTTCCTTCCGGCTACAAATTTGCCTTATAATATATAAAAATGGCATTATATTTAAATCACCAGATGATTACATCTAGGTATTTAAATATATGTATGTTCTAGTGTATTGTAGAAGTGTATTTCATATCATGAACAAAGTCAATACAGTTTTCTTTTGGTTCATAAGAAACTTTAGTAAGAAATAAACGCTTTTTCATAATGCTCATATCTTGTTCTTAAATATGAGTGAGTTTATACATAGGGACACAACTGAAACTGATATGTTAAGCTGGAGTTTAACTGGAGAACCTGGTAATACTGTTCCCCAGGGTCTCTAGCATACAGCTGCAGCCACTGCAGCAACCTGCCGGCACTATAATCAGTATTAGCAATGGCCTCCATAAGAGTTTCAAAATGAAATTTCTAGCTGTGGATTATGCCAGTAATCACGGAGTACATTACAGAGAGCTGTGCAAGGCTCATTGTAAACAGTAAAGCATTCTGCGTTCCTTGACCAGGCATCTGCCTTGTTTTCTGTTTTCCTTTAGACTGCAACGCACTGTCAAACACAACCTGTGAGGAGTGTCTGCGCAATCTGAGTGTGAGTGAACAGAATTGAGTTTATTTCCTCTCATGTAACCTTTGTAGTAGCTTCAGAACCTCATTATAGCTGGGTTATTAGTTACTTAACTTGCCTGCATTTAGTATGTTGCTCAGATGCTCAGCTGTTTTACTGCACTGACCATATCCTGATCTTTCCAGAGTCTTGTGGTGAGCTGTGCTATTTGGGGAAACTGTCATGTGGTCTAAATACAGATGTCCATTTGACTTAAATTCAGAAATCAAGTTTGCCCCAGAAGTATTTTTGGGTGTAAAAATCATAAACTGATTTTAAGGAGCTTGGCAGAACTTTTGGAAAGTTTTATTAACAGATAAACATGATCTTTATTAATGAAATTCTCATTTGACATGAATTATGTGGGTTTAAGACCTGATTTACTAACTGAACTTTCTGCTTCGGTGTTCTCACCACTGCAGTGCAGCTTTGATGTCATCACCGTACAGTCTGAGCTCCCTATCTCAGTAGACACCTTGGCTTTTATGTTTATCAGTTTTAGAGTGGTAAACTTCTGTGGATACATGTTGCAGAAATGGCAGATAAGCACAAGCTTGTTAGTTGCTGAAGAACAGATTTGTAATTAATACAAAAACTTTATACTAGGCATTGTGTTATATTATTGGGGGAACTTTAGACTTAGTCATTGTTGTCAGTCAGTTCCTATTGCATTAGAAACTTGCCCTTTGCATTTTCCTTAGAATCTGAACTATGACAAGCATTCTCAGATGTGAATTTTGTTTGTCACAGTGCTTGTGGTGCCAGTCAACACAGATATGCATCTATTACCCGGTGCAAACTATTCTGCCCCCTCACTCTCTGTGCCCACTGGATTTAGCTCGATGGGGATCATGCTGGGGTAAGTTCTGATGTTAATTAGTGACTGCTCAGTTACAGTGGAGTGCCAGCAGGTGATAAGTGAGACTATGCTAGCTGAAATATACCTTGTACGACACAACCCTGTGCTGGAATGAGCTGCTCATATTTTTGTTTGGAATGTGTTTTTGGGTCAGCCCCTTTTACGTCATTTCCTCATCCGGAAGAGGTTAGACCTTTTCAGCCAGCAAAGGAACATGCCAGTAACTGTCTTGGTGCTGGTAATCAATATTTCAGTAAATCTTCAAATAAAGTATTAATGCCCAGAAATTCTCTGCTTTGGAGTACTGGTGTGCAAATTTTCTGTATAGATGGTCTGCCCCTTTTGTAGTATTTTTTGGGTGCAGGTGGATTCCAGTTCATCACTGAGATTCTCAGCAGTTCATCTTTTGTGTTTTTGTGTTCTTTGTGTCTTGCTGCTGAGAATGTGTGCTTGCCTGGAAGTCTTTGGCCTGGCTTGATTTAACAATATTCACAACAAATCTTGCTAGCTAGACTAAATTATCATTTGCAAATCTGTTCATGAAGCTGAATAAAATATATACTTGCTCCACATATTAAGACTAGTTATTTATTTTTTTGATGTTTGCATCAGTCTTGTAAGCATTATTGACATTTTCCTTTGTGTTTCTGCTTTTTAAAATAGCTTGGACGGTGACATTGCATAGAGGTTGGATTAGAGACAAAATTATTTAGATTCATCAATTAATAAAATGAGCGGTTGGTGAGCTGATTGTCTAGTAACAGGTGAAATAGGCATCTGATTAATTTTGTTTTATCCTCTCAACCACAGTGAACTTTCAGACTCTGATCATCGCGATTTCTGTAGTTGCTGCTGTCATTATCATCGCGATTCTTATCTGTTGCTTCTGCTGCTGCAAATGTGAGAATATTGGGTAAGTTCAGAGTGAAAGTCGTCGTGTTATTGATTGGCTTTCATAAATATGTTGGGTGTGTCCTGTGTTGTTCTTGCCTGAATGTGATGTAATAATCTTGTTGTTTCTCTATAATATTTTTTTCTGGCAGAGATAATAATTGGTTATTAATGCCTGTGATACTTTTTTAAACCAAAAAACTTGCCCAGTTTACTCTGGTGAAGGGTTATAATTAGCCATGCAATCCAGCAGTTTTAGATGGCTTTCTTGGCTGTATGTCATACCTTCAAATTCCCCCGATTCATCCACCCCTCCTCCCACTGTACTTTTGATTTTCCACAGTGTCATGATTGTGGGAAGCAATTCCCCCCTTTCCCACTCAACAAATTTTATCATTAGGACTCCCCCATCCTCACTAGGACACCAGGAAACTTGTTATGGTTAGACATTCACACTTTTTCAGGTTAACAGCCATATCCTGGTTGCAGTTAGCCAATGTGATTCTTTGTCTTTGATTTGAACTTGATTTCTCTCAGGACGAAGAGGTTTGAGAATAAGATGGACCGCCAGGCTGAAAAAAGGAAGGTTCAACAGGAGGAAAGGTATTCATGCACCAGCCGTCACGCAACTGCTGCAGCAGCCTTACCGGTTAAACATTATCTGCCGTGGTTCATTATATTTAGTGAGGAGCGAGGCTTAGTTATTGTTTATTGTTCTGAGAGAGCCACAGTCTGCCAGATTTTCCAGTTCTTATTATAACACGGATTCAGAAAGTGAATTAAATCAAGTTGATTCTACATATCAGATGGTTCAGTGGCAAGGAGTAAGGGAATGTAGCTGGGGAACAACCTCCACAGGCACCTGTATCAGGAATGTGTTAGCTATGCCATAAAATGCACTTCTGCAGGAAGCAGCCTGCATGTTTTCCAATCTCCATACTTCACCCTAGCATTCTCTGACAAATATTATAATCAGAGAAGTGCCCTATACAGTGTCATCTCCTCCATTACCCATAAGTGTCGTTTGTATGAAAAACTTCTGAGTGGGAGATATCTGCAGGATGTCATCCTAATGCTGACGGCATGCAACCCAACCAGCCCAAACCGGTTTGTCAGCATAGCATACCTCATGCTAAGGACCGCGTGGAAGGACTGAGTCATTTCTATATGCCCTGTGTTATCTTTGTCTCTGTTGCCTAAACAGTCTTTATTTTTGCCCTTGGCCTTGCAGGAAAGCTGAGATGAAGACGAGGCATGAGGAAATCAGGCAAAAATATGGTACAAAAATTTGTTTTGCTTCTCCATAAATCAGCACTGGGGTAGCAGCCTGAAGTGATCAAGAGAAATGTAACTTTCCTCTTGCTTATCATGTTATAGATTAGATATACTGAAAGGAAGACCACACCCCTACTATATATGCATGTATAAATATTCAGTTGCCAAAAGTGGAGCACTGGTTTCGGTTTGTGCCCTTTCTGTGATTCCCTGAGAAGCATCCCTGTGTAACTGGGAGGTTGAATCTGAATTCTCTAGGCAGAGAAAATAGCCACCATTTTAGTATTAGTGTAATAATAGTACCCATCCTGATAAAGATTTTTTTGTTTGTTTATGGTGAGGTGCTTTTCAGCCGCTGACATATTCTTGGTCACTAAAAGAAAAGGGGAAAAAGGGAATGGTCTCATGACTCAGCATGCGGCACAAATGACGCATATGAAATGGATTCTAATTATTCATTGACAAACATTTATGACGATACTTGTGTGTACACAGACTTCATAAACAAATATCTCTGTTTCTTTTTCTTCAGGTCTCACAAAGGCAAACCCTTACGCTAGATTTGAGAACAGCTAAGCGGGCTGGTCGTCACAGCTGTTCCGATAAGCTTCCGTCTTTCCTCGGCACAAACAAATCCCGTCCCTGAAACACTCCAATACGTTACACTTCATTCTGCTACTCAGAAAAGTAGTTAGTCCTTTATGTAAAATTGTTGCCAGAAAGTATATTGCTGTACATCAGTTACTTTAAAGATGTTTGTTTTCACTGAAAATCCTTTAACTTTTTAAGCTGGTATACCTAGGTAGACTAAAACATTTTAGTTAATCTAATATAATTGTAATTGTTCTTTTTTCCAGCTCTTCTTCCCATTTAAAAATATACCAAGAATTAATAAAGCGTTCCAGTGCAAAACACTACCTATCCTGAAGTGCAATGTTCAGATTATTTCTAATACAAATTTGATTGCATGTCAATTTATTGTCACAGATTACAGCAGGTAGTTATTCTTCTGAAACTGGCCTTATTTATATGTTTTATTTCTAAGGTCTAACAGGGGAACTGGTATGGTACTCTTAAAATATTAAACCAATGGCTTTTTGAAGTGTTACTATGTAACACATTATCCTAGATAATGTCTTGAAAGTCATTTATAGGTACTGGTAATAGTTATAAAATCAAATATTACTATCTTGTAATTCATGTTTGATTTTGGTTTAAGCCTAATTGGTCAGTGTGGTAACAAACCATAATGTGCAATCAGTTGTTCCAAGCAGTGTATGCAATTTGATTTTTTCGATTCATGTAATTATATATGTTTTTGTTTGTGTGCCATTTTAAAGCTCTATAAAGAGGTTTTATGTCAGGCTTAAATTGGGAAATGCACATTTTTTAAAATGAACTTTTACGGAAGATTGAACCTGATATATTCTGCCAGCACTTGAAGTATACTAGCTGTACATGTGTTGTGGCATAATTGTCTTGCCAGACTTTTTCTTTATAAATTGGGACCTGCATTGAAAGCTGTCCTGATCAATACAATATACTGCTAAATACTTATAAGCCAGGGTTTGTGCTGCAATTCAGGAAATCTCAAATTACAAATAAATGTGAACTGAAATCGTCTTGTATTTTTGCTATTCTTATTTTTGACTATGAATTTAGGAATTGAATTATCTAGTATAATTTCTTTACGTCAGTGTTTCTGATCCTTGTCCTTGGGGACCCCCAGACATCCATATTATTGCTGAGAGCTGGGAGGGAGAAAAAATGTGGACTGTTGAGGATCCCTGAGGAGCAGGTTGAGACACACCGCTGTACACCATTCTGCCTTGACTCTTATATGTTTAACATTGACTCTCTGTAACTATATACAGTGGTACCTCAGAACTTAATCCGTAGAACTCTGGACTGAATCCTAAAAAGTTCGAGTTCTGATAGAATTTTCCCCATAAGAAATAATGGAAGACCAAATAATTGGTTCCCGGCCCCAAAAAATTACACCGAAAAATGTTTTTTTAGCATTTAAACGCAAAATGAACCTGACAAAACAAGAAAAGCATACACTGTACTAAACACATCTAAGCACATTTATCAAAACAGTAATTTTTAAAGTAAGAAAATAAATGTATCCAAACAATGTGTGAAGTTAAAAAAAACAATGTGTCCTGCCCCGATCGTCCGCTCCTTCCGTGTGCCACGCCCCCTCGTTAACCCCGTGTGGAATCCCCGTGTGATCAGCTGTTTCTGGTTGTTATCATTAGTCCTCTGTATTTCATCAGCGTTTCAGTTCGTTTCCCCAGTCCCGTCATTGTATTGTCCGTCTGCGTTTTGCCTGCCTTACCTGTAATTAAACCCCGTATTCCCCGATACCCTGACGTCTGCGACTTTGTCTCCGTTCAGTCCCCGCTGGGCACCACAATATTATTATAATTAAATGTATTAATGGTTTATTATTAATATTATGAATAAGAAATCTTTATTGTTAAATGTATTTTATTATACAATAATAATTACTGTTACTGTCTATCATTGTCTAAATGTATTTTTACTCTCTAAATATATGTATTCGGCTAGTGTAAACATGCAGGATGCTATCACAGCAAATGCGAGGCTGAGACTGAAGCGTTTCTCTTTGTTTCCGCTGAGAGACGTGCGGTGTGACTCATTTCTCCGCGCATACAAGTTATCTTAGGTCGGCTTTCACGGTTGGACTTCTGAGATTCAGATCGTTTTCCGAACTGGTTGGTTCGACTTTTAAAGAAATTCGAGTTCTAATGAGTTCGAGAACTGATGTACATGTACTGTACATGTATTATATAGTTATAAGTCATAATATAATATTCAATAATGCAAGTTAAAATATCGTGTTATTTTAGATTTTGTTCGTACTTGTCATACTGGGTTTTATTTGGATCACTGCAATTTGCACGTCCTATTCCGCAGTCACTTCTTATCGCATCTACAGGGGTTGGGCAATGAAACTGATACACCTGGTTTTAGACCACAATAATTTATTAGTATGGTCTCGGGCCTCCTTTTGTGGCCAATACAGCATCAGATCATCTTGGGAATGACCGATACGGGTCCCGCACAGTGGCCACAAGGATGTTGAGCCATTCCTCTTCCAGAACAGTGGCCAGGTCACTGTGTGATGCTGGTGGAGGAAAAAAAACACCCCGAAGTGGCTCAATAATATTCATATCTGGTGACTATGCAGGGCACGGCCCGGGAGATGTTCAACTTCACTTTCATGTTCATCAAACCACTCTGTCACCAGTCTTGCTGTGTGTATTGGTGCATAATCTTCTTGATACAAGGTACCACCTTTAGGGTACACTTTTTTTAACGATAGATATAAAAACGTAGATACCACGTGTGCGATTACCCGTGCGCCTGCGCAGTCGCCATATTGGGGCGGTCGGCGCTTGAATCACTTATAGCAGATTGCTTGGAAGTATGCCGCAGCCATGTGCAGCACTTGGGTGCACAAACAGATAAAACTGTGAAAACAGGCATCGCGGGACTACTTTTCTGCAGTAAGTGGCAATTTTATTTTACTGTTATGTAAGTTAGTGAACATGAATTATCAGTTAAGATTATCCTGAAAGTGACTTGACACCATCGTGATGATGGCTACATAACGTTATGGATAATTGTTAAAGCGCTACATGATTGGTGTAAACGTGATATTTACTTAAGGCCACTTAAAATTAATAAATTGTTTTACATGGCCGCCCGCCTCAATTTTTTGGTGCCGCCTCGATTTTTTTATATTTTATATTTTTCAAAAAATCCGTTTTTTTTACCTCAAAAACTGTGGGTGAAAAATCTTGAATGTCAGCCTCGGATTTTTCAATTTAACGCTTCTCGGACAATGGTTTTTGTCGTTTGTCAGATTGTGTGTGGGCCCACGGTATTAAAATCTTGGCAGGGCGCATCAATATACCGAGTAATATTACCCTTCGCGAGCTGTTTGAGAACTTTTCTAGTTTTAGTATATCTCTGTTGCCGTTCGTCTTTTCGCTAAAAATATAAAATATAAAATCCCCTACTCACCAATATTTTAGAAGTTTGAGTCATGTAAAACAATTTATTAATTTTAAGTGGCCTAACAGTGACCTCAGTCGCTGTATAGTTTACTTTATGTAAAATTGTGTTATATAATTGTGTCATGGTGTTATAAACACTAACTAGCCCAAATCATGGTGCTAGCTTAATGCGCTAGCTGCACCATTCATCCACGAGCCAGAAGTAATTTTAACATGATCTTGTTTTTGTCACAGGTTCCCCAAAGATCCTGAATTAAGGAAAGCTTGGGCCATAGCTGTCCGACGGAAAGATTTTGTTGTTCTCTGTAGCTGTCATTCTAAGGCAGATGATCTTGACTGGCCAAATTGTGCCTCTGAAGGAAAGTGTGATCCCTTGTCTTCCGTCTGAACAACATTAGCGTGTAAGATAGTTATAAGGTGAGTGTTTTTTTGTGGTAAACAGTGTTAATATATAGTGTAATCTAATTGGAATTACGAGAATACAGATGATCTCATACTAACATAACTGAAATTACCATTAAACCTGATATTGAAAGTGAATGTCCCTTTTGATTGTTCTAATATTGATTTTTATTTTTTTTTGGTTACCATTGTTTTTTGTTTGCTTGTTGTGAGCAGGGTATGTTTTATTCTTTATCTCTATATAGTTATTGTCACTTTATTTCATTAAAATATTTTAACATAACTGCCCTGTTTCATAAAGTAATAAGGTAAGTAGATTATCAAATAGGAAGACAATAAGTGCCACTCCTTATCACTGAAAACATTGTGTGGAAATTTGATTTGTCAAATAAAGTTTTATTGTTTCTGGTATAATTTTGTTAAAATTATAAGTAAACATTACATATGCAGTAAACTGCATCTATTGGTTGTTAGATGTAACAAACCTGAATTCAGCATCACTGTGGTTTTTATTGAGAGCAGATGTAATTTCTAGATTATATGTAGTATTGTAATGCTATATTACAGAGCTGTACTATTATGTGTCCATGTCTAAAATGAAGATTACAATAAAATATTTCTGACGTGTAATGGTAATTGTCCATTCTGAAGAAGTGGACTTAGCATACATGTCTTGGGATGTACAGATGAATTGAATGGATGTCCTCTCTTAAATGAAGTCTGGAGGTTGAAAATTGTCTTAATTGATTTAATTATTAAAACAACAAGGAACCGGGTGAATTTTTAAGAACATAGTATATTTGAAAATCTACCTTTTTGGAGAAGCTTTCAAAAGCTGATATTCTAAATAATTCATGCTTGATGCTGCCTGTTCATAGATCAGAGCCTGAATGTCCCAGAGGATGCGAGATCACGAGAAAAATAAGTCGTGATCTCGAGATAACGAAAAGAAAAAAAATGTTCATGCATGTACCTCTACAGACTTCCGTAGGTTCAGAATTAATTGTGTTAGTGAATTTTGTAGAGTCTGCATCTCTCAATATTGATTGTATTTGTTTACTAACGGCTCTTGACCACTCCAATATGGTGGATGTGCAGATGTGTAGTGGCAACAGCCAGCAGTGGCTAGTGAGCTATGTTATTTATAGCTATGGTTTCAACCATTGAGTGAACATGGTCCTCCAGAATTGTTCGGTAGTCCTTGGCAGTGACACGCTCATCTAGAATAAGTGGTGGGCTTAGGGAATGCCATGATATTGCAGCCCAAACCAACACTGATCCACCCCGTGCTGTACTCTGGGTAAGCAACAGTCCAGTGGCCTGTATTATGAAGCGGGGTTACTGGCTTATCGGGGTAACTTGTCGGATTTAAGGTACCACAGTTTAAATGGACTTCATATTCGTTCACTTACATTTTGCCCAGACTACCTTAAATCTGACAAGTTACCCCGATAAGCCAGTAACCCCGCTTCATAGTACAGGCCCCAGGTAATAAGCCTCTTTGGGGTTTCTCCTCACTGTAACTCTCCTGGATGTAAGATAGACAGTGAAGGCAGACTCATCAGAGGACAATACATGCTTTATATTGTCCACAGCTCAAGATTTATGCTGCTGGCACCTTTGAAGCTGACATTTAACATTGGCACGAGTGACTGAGGGTTTGGCTATACCAGCCCAACCATGAATATTGACCCTGTAGAGTTCCTGACAAACAGTTTTGGTGGAAACAGGAGGGTCGATGTGCACAGTTAATTCTGCACTGTGTTGGGTAGCTGTGGTTTTATGTTTTTTGGATACAATCCAGGTTAGACTACCCTTTCAGACGGCTTCCTCTTGCGTCCAGTTACTCCTGTTGGATGTGATCCATCCGTCGTGGTGGTATGCAGACATTACTCTGGATACCGTGGCTCTCGATAAACCACAAAGATTTGATGTCCTCGTCACAAATGCACCAGTGAGACGCACACCAACAATTTGTCCTCTTTTGCACTCGGCCTCCCAATATGATTTGTAGATTGCAATATTTTATGTACAGCTGTACTATTGCTCTGCTAATTCAAACTTTCTGCTCTTAATGATGCAATCAGTGAAGATTGACCACCAGGCTGCGCATATATAGGTGTGAAACCTCAAACGCTGTTGGCCAATGTTTCAGCTTAATTGTCCAACCCCTGTAGCACACCCCATTCAAAAAGTCTGGGAAAACTAAAAACAGTATGGTTTTACATTCACATAAGACACATTAGATTTATAGTTATGATGTCACTAAAACATATTTTTCAATGTTTATGAAAGATACTTATTGTAGATTTAATGGGTGCCGAATAACATCTGAAATCTAAATGATTACACAAAAACAGTTAAGAACAAAGGGGCAATACTAAGGTTCAAACCCTGGGGCCTTCCATGTACCAGTGTTCCAAGCACAGAAGATCAGTTTGAATCAGATTCAGTGACATTGTAGATGTCCTGTAGCATTGCAAGTTAATTAGAAATAACAAGTCATATAATGTTTATCCTAAAGACAATAAAAACTCAAAAGCTAACAAAAATATATTTACTGACATTAAATGAATTGAATTGAAAGTAAATGTCAGTAAACCAAAGGTTCCATACATAAAACCATTTTAAAAAAATCAAACACTGATCACAAAATCGCCCAGAAAAACTTGTCCAAATAATTTAAAGACGCATCTTAAGCAGTATTTAACTATATTTCCGAATAACACTGCACTCACCTACAGCTGCATAAAATCCGCGCCACCGAATTTTAAAATATATGCGCGTTCACGTCTCCACGCTCCCGTTAGAAAGGCCCACGTCATGTACTATAGGCCAATCAGATTCTGGAAACCAAAAGCTCAAGCGCGCACGCGATAGCGGTGGAAGATTGGGAGAGGTAGAAGAGAGTCAATCGCAATAATTTTGTTAGCGCTGAGTTTCTTTATAATATAAGTCAACATCATGTCTGAAGAGAAGCCAAAGGTAAGACCATAATATTGTCGAATAAATTAGTATATTTTTAGCAGTTTAAAATACGATCGGGAAATACGTGCAGCCGCAGTGCTTGACGGTAGTCGGATTCCGCATTTGAGCGGTTTTAAAAACAAACTGACGTCTATTGTATAATTTACGGTTTTTATATTAGCGTCTCGAGCTACTTTTTTTCAAGGGTCCGGGCGGCGATTTATTATGCAGCGTGAGTGCCTTCATTGAATCTGCGCCATTGTTTTCATGTGCCGCGCAATTTCTTGGGGTGGAATTCAGCGTTGGCTTTTGCGGCTTTTTCTTTGTAAAACTGCGCTGCCAGTCTTTGGGCGGAGTTACGCATTTGGCGTAGCGAAATGCCGCAAGGATAGCCGGTCCGAATGGACTGGAGCGCCGTGCGAAAAAGCCGCCATTTGAAAGCCGACACAGAGGCGCAGTACCTAGCTATCGAGTAATCGGGTTTTTAGCCACATGCTTTTGTGAAGTAGTTAGGAAATTAATTTTCTTTCAAAACCAGGAGCATTGAAAATCCTTGACATCACTTATCGGTTTATCCAGTCGTTTACTAATTTAGCAGAAATTGATAGAGCGCAAATACTCATATCCAGGATTCGTCAAACAAGTTCATAATGGTAAGGTTTAATTTAATGGTAAGGTGTTTTTTTTTCTTTTATCTTTCGAAGACTTAGCTTTGGGTTTGTGTATACAAGTTAGTGTGTGAAGGTTTCATCTTAACTGCAATATGATGCTTTTATGTTCATGTGGTTATCAACGAGTCTTGATGTTTCTGAAAAAAGTGTTTTTATGTAAACGCTCGTTTCTGTAGGTAGTGGATTGCACGAGGTTTAAACATGTTTGTAAGGGTTTTTAGGTATTTCTTTTTTCAAAAAAGCGACCAAAGCTAGAGACACGATGCTTGCTAAGAGGGGACAAAGTCAAGTCCGGATAAGAGGTGCCTTTTTGTCTGGTGGAGAAATTGATCCATGTACCGTGTGGGCTGCTTCTGTTATTTTCAGGAAGGTGTGAAGACTGAGAATGACCACATCAACCTGAAGGTGGCTGGTCAGGATGGCTCAGTGGTCCAGTTCAAGATTAAAAGACACACTCCTCTCAGCAAATTAATGAAAGCATACTGCGAAAGACAAGTACGCTGGATTACATTACCTCCCCCATCTCTTCAGATTGAGCTCTTTTGTGGCCCTCTGTTAAAATAAGAGAGAAATTGTACTCTGTTATTCCTGATTATTTTTATTTGCACTTACAGTTATACTTGTCTCACTGATCTGTGGTTAAGGCCTGCAAGTTCATTAGGCATTACTCCTACAGGATCTACATAAGCATACATGAATTTGCAGTGCCAAGTGTAATTTCTTGTTAGACACCAGTACATTACATAATTAGGTCACGATAGTAATTTTAATATAATCCGGATGTCTCTGAAATTATCTAATTTTAAAACTTTTTCATTCCTCCTTCAGGGTTTGTCAATCAGACAAATTAGGTTTAGGTTTGATGGGCAGCCAATCAATGAGACGGACACACCTGCACAGGTTAGTAAGCTGTCAGTTTTTGCAGTAGCTATTTGTGTATGTGTTCACCTTTTAATCGTTTAGTTTTTTAACATGAAATGCTTACATGCTGCCTCATTTGCCATTTGAATTTGCTGTTTAAAACCAGACTTGGCTAATATGTATTTCACATAGTTAAACTTCATTGTCCTAGTGAAAAGCTGGGGACGCAGTTCACCAATTTACAACTTCACCAAAAGCTCTTTATATTTCTGGCATGTATAATTAAGGGACTGTTTAAAGGGTTGTTTATTTTTATTTATCCATTGTATATTTCACAGATTAGAGTAATTACTTGTCACTGAATGGAAGTTTTGCTGATGCTTGAACACTGGTTGAATATCAGTCTTGCCAAAGGCTCAGAAGAATACATTGGGGCACACCCATCGACAATTTTTGGATGTAAAGTACATTCTGACTGGAATAAATCAGCCTGGATTCAGCCCAGTATATGACACTTAGCCTACATATTAATTTCAGCTCTAATTGCAGAGTTGTTTTTTTGTAATACAAGCAGAAAGAATAGTAAGTGTAGCATGCATTAAGTTTGTTTCATGTTGCTTAATTAGCTATGGGCTGAATAGTCTAGTCCAATTCAAGTTGGATAAAACAAAATGTTTTGGGTGTCAGTGTAAAACCAAATTAGACTACATCATAATGGCATAAAGGGCTTTTTCCCATCCAAAATGTGGGCTATATATGTTTCTCCATTTTGTAAATGATGAAATATTAAATAAGTGATTTAACTTCTATACAATGAACATAAACATAGAAACTGAGAAGTAACTTGGTTTGGAGGCAAATAGGAAAGTGTTTCGTTGGGCACACATCTAGAATTTTTTTCCCCTCAAGGTCTTCATTTAACAAATTTGTTGTAAGACTTGGTGTAAGAACAGCATTACTGCCTGTGCTAATTTGGCAAGTGGCAAATGAAGGTCCAATATACACATCTCCCTTAGTCCGCAAAGCCTTGAAGCCGTCTTTGTTGTAGTGTTTGCGAGAAAATGGCAAAGACTGGAGCTAATGAAAAATCCGTGTGAGCAGAAATGACCTTCCCCCAGATCTGAACAGTTT